CATGGTGGTTGACAGCATGTTCTTGGGGCGCAGAATGCCTGAGTCCAAATTCCAGCTTCCCTGCCCGTGCTTTCTGATTGCGTGTTCCTGGGCAGGGGAGTTCACCTCCCTGAGCCACTGTTTGTTTGTTCATCTGCACAATGGAGATAATAACAGTACCCATCTCAGTGGTCCTTGTAACGATTAGTTGAGAAGTGAGTACGACATGCTTTGAGCACAGAGTCTGGCACACTGTAAACCCTCCAGGCCTGTTGGCTATTACTGTTATTGTATTATCAGTTACGAAGGGGCCAGAGGACACCTGCAGGCCTAGAGGCAATAAGCTGGCCCCTGAGCGCCTGTCTCCCAGCTCCCCGCCCGCTGTCCCTGTCACTCTCTTCAGCACTGGGTGATCGACAGGTTGGGCCGGTGGCATCCTGGCAGGCCTGTCCTAGCAGCTGCTCCCACAAGGCGAGGCCCTTGAGCTTCGGAGAATTAATTAGGCCACATTCCTCTTCCAGGGCTCCTGGCGGGCCTGCACACAGCCCCCTTCTGAGCTGCTGAGGGCTCTTGGCTCAGGTCCCTGGCAGGCAAGGTGAGGCCCACACTCTGCTCTCCCTTGAGAGGGGCTGGGCGGGAACTCCTGAGCTGGAAGTGCTGGCTGTGGAGGGGCCAATGATAAGCCAGTAGCCCAAGGCCAGCCCCTGTCCTAGCTCTCCTCTACTATCCACCTTTGCTGGCTCCCCATCCCTGAAGTTCAAATTCCTGGCATTGGGTACCATTTCTAGCCTGAACCTTGCCCATCAGTTTGGCTGCCTCTGTCTGGATTCTTCCATGCTCTGGCCAGACATGCCTCACACCCTTCCCCCAGATGTGATGCCCTTTCGCCCATCCCAGCATGTGCAAACCCCACCTATTCTCAAACCCTCCGTCCTCTCCCACCAGCTGGAAGGGAAGCCCATAGCATACTCCACCACCCCTATCCCTTTACTTAGCCCTTGTCTGTCTTTCCTGCCAGCCTGTGAGACCTCTGAGAGGACCAAGTGCAGTTTGAGCCAGACGTGGAACACTGAGAGAGGGCACGTCAGGCATGATAATACTCTCCTGGGAGACATTGTCTGTGGCTGTGCTGGGAGTGGCAGCTGCTGTGGATCTCCCTGCCTGTAGCCCCTTCTCCTATGCCAGGTGCCCAGCCTCGATGTGGCACTGCTCACTCCCACCTGCCCCTCTCCAGCCTTCCCCCCACCCTCTTCTTCTTGTAAACCCTGAAAGGAACTGGGAATAGCTCCCTTCCTCATAGAACCTTCACCTTGCTCTTCCCTCTGCCTAAAACACTCTCGTGCACCCTCATCCTTCACTTGGCTGATTCCCTTGAGCTTAGTCTAGATGTCACCTCGTCCAAGAAGGCACCCTGGGCTCCCCCACCCCAGGATCTCCATCTCAGGATGGATGTACCCTATCAGAGAGGCAGGACAGCAGAGAAGTTTGAGCCTGAAGTTTAAATCCCTGCTCAGCCACGTACTAGCTGTGTGACTTTGAGCAAGTTTCTTAACCTCTCAGTTACCTCTTCTCTAAAATGGGAATGATAATGATAGAATCTGCTACATAAGGTGGCCATGAGGAACCAAGGAATGCAGTAAGCTTTTAGTGGGCATTCAATAAACATTAGCTATTATTTTAATCATAATATTTAACAGTGTTTTCTTGAAGGCACTTGACCCGTGAGGGCAGGGGCTGCCTCTGTCTTGCTTACGAGAATCTCCAGAGAGGTTCTGGAGATTATGAATAATTTAACAATTATTCATAATTGTTAAATGAATGGATGGCTACATTCCAATGATTTATTGCCCTGTTAGGCAAATGTCCTTTCTGAACTGAAAACCTAGCATCCTTGTGTCTATTTTAAGGAGAGAGAGAGAGAGAGACAGAGAGACAGAGAGACAGAGAGAGAGAGACAGAGAGACAGAGAGACAGAGAGACAGAGAGAGAAAGGGAAACTAATTCGTGGGGGTTCTTTCCTGAGTGAAGGGGTTGGGGTCAGAGGCAGCTGGGAGTGATGAGGGCCAGTCTGCTACCTGGATATGTGTCAGGCTGAATAGCTCTGGAAATGGGACTGAACTCCCCTCTGCCTCAGCTTCCATTGGTGCATGGAACCCACATAAATCTGGGTTGTTTTGTACCCCCTTCTGGCCTATCTCTGCCTGGTGTTCTCATCAAAAAGAACCCAAATTTGGCTCAAAAAGCCTTGATAAAACCTGTTAAGTATTTATGGGAAAGGCAGAAAAAGGCAGAAAGAGGGGAGACTTTGTCTCATAAACCAGACAAATTTCCTGAAATGTTGACACTTTTCTTCTCAGGGTTGCATTAGACTTGGCAGCTGTTCCTCACAAATTTTCCTCTGCTTCTTGCAAACTCTACCCACTTTCCCCCACATTCCAGGGCCCCAGTTACCTAAGGGGTGGGCTATAAGGAGGCACAGGCTTCAAGTGCACATGACCCCTCAGCTCTGCAAATTCTTCCTATGGAGAGAGGTGTGACTGGAAGAAGGTCAGAGCAGGACCCCCTACAGTGCTGAGCCCAAGCCAGAGGCCCCGTTTCCAGGAGACTAGAGTCACCTTGCCTCTACCTGCTTCCTGGGCCTCCTCTCCTTTCTTTAATCATCTCTGTTACTGAATCACTTGGGTCTCTGATCTCTGAACTCTGGCCAGGGCCACTGGGGCCTGTGCCAAGGGCAGTGAATGTCTGCTTCCTTGAGCCTCTGACACACCCTCAACCAGGACCTCGTCATCCCTCTGTCAGCTTTCCATCACACCTGCTTCCCTGGGGTTGCCCCACTCAGCTGCTTGCCTGGCCATAGGCTGCTGCTTTGGGCTTCCAAGGGGGGCAGGGCCATTTTGAATGAGTTGTTGGGCTGCCAGGGAGCGAGATTCTCCTGGCATCAGGCTCAGCTGAGATTTGAAAGGTATGCTCTGGCCCTGGGCTGTGACTTCCTAGGAAGTGACTGTGCTGGGCCTATTACACCAGTCCTCACCACCCAGGATGCACGGTGGACTTGTTTCCCTGCCTTCTGTCCCCTCATTTACTCCTGCCCTGTGCAGCCCTCTGGTGGCATGTCTCCAAAGCTCAGCTCTGACCAGGTCCCCTGTGCTCACAGATCTTTTGTGGCTTCCCATGGCCCACGAGAGAAAGTCCAGGCTCCTTCCTTTGGCTCAAGACTTCCCTGGTTTTGTCTCCTGCTGTTCCTCCCCTCACCATGCTCTAACTACATAGGGTCCTCTGTGGAAACCTTATCACTCCCAGGGTCATGCCTTTACCCTTCCCGTTCTCTTCCCATTTCCTTTCTATTTATTTGTGCTTACTCATCTTTTGAGGCTACAGGAGTAGCCTTTGTCTAAGGAGTCTTTCTCTGGCCACTCCTCTGCACCCAGCCAGCCTCAGTCTCTCTCTTCCGTCATGTCCTTTAGCTCTGTGCCTGTCACAGTGACTATGTAATAACCATCGATGGCCTGACAAGCAGCCTCTGCCTCTTATCAGGCCCAGGGCTGAGCTCAGCATCATAACTTATCCATTTAGTGTTTATACCAGCTTTACAAAGTAGAAAATATTGTTTCCCATTTTATAGATTAAAAAAACTGAGGCTCAGAAAGATTTCCTCAAGGTCCCACTGCAGTGGTGATCTATAAAGTCAATCAGTAAACATTTATTAAATGCAAAATACAATAAATAAATAAATAACTACAAAATACATACATACATATGTACTATAGATTCCGAGTGCAAATGCTGATGCCATCACTTATTTGCTGTGTGACCTTAGGCAAGTCAATTGCCTTCTCTGTGTATCAGTTTCCTCGTCTGTAAAGTGGGAATCATAAAAGTACCTATGTCATAAGGTTGTTATGAGGATGAAATGAGTTACTTTGGGTCAAGTGCCAGTATATGGTAGAAGTTCAGTATGTGTCAACCTGTTATTCTTCCATGAAGGGGTCAAGGTTGGCTTTATGGACGAGGCAGAATTAGAGTACTGTGTAAATAATTATTTTTCAGTTGCCTGCTCAGACCGCAACCTGCCACTCCTAGTGCAGGCCAGCTGGGAGAAAAGGGAACAGCCTGCTCTCAGAGGATTTGGAAGAGATGGAGGCTGTGGGTCCAGGCAGCTGCCAGCAGGGGTGGCCCTAGTGTTGGCTGTCCCTGGGACTCAAGTGGACTACTTCTTGGGCCTTGGCAGGACTGGCCATCCCATTCCTAGAGGCCCGGGCTTCTTCATTCAGAGGCATGTTGAACCCCTCAGCCAAGGCCCAAGGTGAGGATCAAGACCGGGTCCAGCCTGTGTCCCTACCTAAACATCCATCGCTGGCCACTAGAGCTGCACACAGCCTTGGAATTCATGTAGCCCCAGCCCTCACTGGATAGATTTGCTCAGGGACCCAGTAGCCCCTGTCAGCACAGGGCAGCTGGAGCACTAGTGGGTCTCGGCCCCTTTCAAACATGCTTGTGGGCAAGGCCTGGCCATCTGTTACTGGCCTGATGGGAATGTAGGTCCTGGAATCCTGGATGTCAAAGCTACAAATAGCTGTTCAGACGTGTGATAGGCAAAAGCCCAGAGAGGGCGGGTTAGCAGTCAGAGATGCCCAGCAGGGGCACGGGGAGTGAAACCCAAGGCTCTAGCACCTGCCGCAGGCCCTTTCCTTCCCCTTCCTGTGACCCTCTAACTACCAAGCAGCTGCTTCTTGAGGGCTGCCTCCCACCCCCACCTCAGCCAAGACAAAATCCCAGAGTACTGTTCCATTATTTATTACAAACACGAGTTCACAGGCAAATAATTGAGAGTCTAAAAAAAATACATTATAATAAATAATTGGAATTCCCAAAGTTCTTAGAGCAAATAAATTATATACAGACAGGTGAAGCAGAATAGGCCCTTCTCACCAGGAGTGTCCTGAGGGTATGAAGGTACAAGGACTCTGGGGAGAGAGATCTAAAAGGGACAGATGGGGGCGGCCAGGACACCAGCCATTGGACAGCCCTATCCAGCCTCCAGGGCTGGCTTAGGTGTGAGTGTCCATCACTGCACGTCATTCCTGGTTTGCAGCCAACAGATAGGATTCCTCTCAGGACTTGGCCTCCAGTTTAGTGCACTTCCCCACGCAGTTCCTTTCAGCAGGGGTGTGGGGCCAGAGCCAGGGTGAGAGGCTGCTCTGTACCGTGGGAGCAAAAGCTTTCCTGGACACTGTGAGGGCTTGGAGCCGCCTTGATGGAGGCTCGCTCTCCAGAGCGAGGAGATCAGAGCTTGTGCCAATCCCAGCCGGTATGTTTCCTGGCCCAGGAAACAGGTGGAGGGTCTCCCTTCCCTGGGCCTCCCCTCTCCTTTCATTTCCACGCAGGCTTCCTTCCCAGCGTTCTTCCAGCTCTCGACGCTATCTCTTCCTCCGCCTGGAGTGTGTAGGCCTGGTCTCCCTTATTGACTCCTTCTGTCGCCTAGCAAAGCGGATCTTGGCAGCAGAAATGTCCCTGAAATCGAGAAGGGTCAGTTTAGCATCTTAGGAGATACGCACATCTGAAGAGGTCCCCGTGAGAGGCAGCAGTAATAGGGACTGAACTCTTTTATCGTGGCTGCCCTGGGATCAGCGGGTAAGTGAAACCAAGGTCTGCCCATCAACGTCAGGCCACACCAGGCCTAGAAGCTTCTCTAGGGGCTTCCCACAGGGGCTTTGACAAAGCTGATTTGCTGCCAGAATGACCGGATGGCGAACGGCCCAGAGTTTATCTCCCATGACCTGCTTTCCCACTTCCACATCTTTGCTCATGCTGTTCCTTCCAGGTTGTTCACCTTCCCCTCACCCAAATTCCACCTATTTCAATGTCTATTCTTCAAGGTCCAGCTCAAAGTGGTCCAACCCAGACAAATATGGGTCCTAGCTACCCTTTGAACCTGGCTGAGGCTCATGTCATTTAGGTAGCCTCATCCTGCCTCAAAGCTTTCTAGCCTGGGAACTAAGAGGCTGGCTTCAGTTCTCAGGTGTAGGACTTGGGCAAGTGTTTCAACCTCTCTGAGCCCCTCTCTGGGTCTATAAGATAAAAACAGGTCTGAACTGTTGTAAGGAAGAATACGGGTTGGCAAATCAAGCTCTCTGCTAGCTCTGAAGAGCCATGTACTTGCAAAGTTTATCTTGAGTTTTTTCATCCTAAGACAGTTCCTAAGTCTATGTTGGTCCTGCCTATCCCACCATCCTGCCTTTTTTTCCTACGTTTCTGCCTCCCCACAAAGATGGGATCCCCTGAGGAGGCAAGCTGGACCCCAGCACTGGTTAGTTCCGAGCAGCCATCAGGAGCAGAGGTAGGAATGGCTAACACCTCCAGCGCTCCCGCTGGGGACCAGGCCCTGCTGGAGACGCTTCATTATGTCAGCTCATCTAACCTCACAACAACCCAATGAGATGGGTAGCATTGTTGTCCCTGTTTCAAAATAAGAACCTAAAGTGGAGAAGTTAAGTGACAAACTCAAGGTCATGAAGCTTGTTTTTGGCAGGATGTGGTTCACATCAGGCAGCCTTGGCTCAGAAGCTGCCCCTTAGCCACTCTTGCATGCCAGATGTGAGGTTCCTGCTCTCAAGTCAGTTAGGCCGAACAAACATTCACGGGCACCTCCTGTGTGCTAAACCTTGAGCTGAGCCATGCTGAGGCCACTACGGAAAGGATCCTGTCTATGATGGGGGGAAGGAGCAGTCTGGGTAGTTGGTCCCTTTAGACTCTAGCATATGGGAGATACTTGATTCAGACAGCCTGAACAAACACCTGTGGTCCTTTCAGAGTCACAAGCCTTCAAACTAGCTTCTAAAAGGTCTACTTCCAGGCCTGGTGGTAACAAAGAGCATAGCAGTTAAAAGTACAGGCTCTGGAGTTAGCTAGATGCCAGATTGCTGTGTGACCTTGACAAAGTGCCTTTACGTCTCTGAGCCTCAATTCTCTTAACTGTCCAATAGGATCACAGTCCTGCCTCTTATTGAGAACAAAGGAAATGTGAGGAAATGTGTAAGGCATACAGGAGGCCTCAATCAGTGCAGGTTCTCCTTACCTCAGCCGCTGGAGGAGCTCTCCTGCAGTGATCCATGTCTTGCCAGTCTGGAACACGTCTGCAGTGGACCCAGTGCCTGGGATTGCCATGGCTTCAGACCTGAACGAACAGCATTAGGGCCCAAGTGAGGGGCTGTCCAGGGACCCGAAGCCACTTGGGTGCAGGCCCAGCCCAGCCCCCACTCCACCCTCACCTGCCCTCAGGAACAGATCTATTTCCACTCTCATGCACCTGGCATGCTTCCTTTCCCAGGCAGGGTGGGGACCAAGGAAAACTGAGCTACCGGGAATGCATCCTTAGCCTCGGAAAGAGGCAGCTGGGTGGCCGGCCTTCCCAGAATTTGGCCACCTGCACCCGAGCATGGCCCTTTGCAGAGGAGACTGAGGCGGGGGTGGAGTCACAGCTTGAGTCTCAGAGGAGTTTTCTCATAAACCATCATGGGAATGGAGGCTGGGGATAGTGAAGCCAGTTTCTGCTTTCCCCAAAGGCTCCAAGTGGAGGAAGGAAGGAATAAATTTTCCCACCCTTTTACAGATGGGAAAACTGAGGCCCAAAGAGTTAAGAGAATTGCAAAGGGTCCCCAGCAGTTCTGTGACAACTTTGGGATGGTGTCGCAGTCTCCCCAACTCCAGATGTTACTCTTCCCCTGAGGAAGTGCCGAAGTCCCCTGGATTTCAGGTACGAATCCAAAGCCCCATGGACTCAGTCAGATGGAGCAAGGCTGAAGTCCAGCTCTCTTTTTGACCAGCTGTGTGGCCTTACAGGACAAGTCCTGTCATAAGTCCTCTTTGGGCCTGAGCTGCCTCAGCCATCACCTGGCAAGATTCCCTCTTACCCAGGAGTGAGACATGATACGCTCAGAAGGCCCCATTGTTGAGCAGTGGGAGGCACTCAGGGTGACTGGTTCCTTGCAGGAAGGAACACTGCACATGGACCCCGGGCGGCCTATGGGCACCTAGGACCCTGCTCCCCCTCCTCCCATTAGCTCTTTGCTCCTCTTCTGGTCTCCCAGACACCCTGTTCTCCAGGGAAGGTCTAGGTTGGCAGCCACCTCTGGCCCATGCAGCCGAGGTGCCCACTTACCAGGGCCTTTGATGGCAGAAGGTGGCACATGCAGGGTCTCTGGAGCTGGAGCATTCACAGCGCCCTGGCAGAGAGCGGCGCTGGCGTCTTGGCGGGTTTCCCAGACCGTAAGGAGCTGTCTGTCTGTGGGCGGGCAGCCAGCAAGGTAGTGATGTAGGGTGGAGAGAGTGAGAATGAAGGAGAGGGAGAGAGGGAGAGGCAGAGAGGGAGGGGGAGAGAGAAAAGGAGAGAGAGAGGAGAGGTTAGATAAACTAGATAAACCATGACCATTGGCAAGCAGGGGCTGTCCACACTGCACACAACGCAATGGCCACCCATGCCGCTAGCGTGGTAGCAAAAGGTGACCAGTCCCCGATCTTAAAAAGTCCCACTACAAGCTCCTCCTTAGGTGCCAGGTAGCCCTAAACAAGACCCAAGATCCTTCCCCTCTCTGGACTTCTGCCCCCACCCCACCCCCACCCTGCCCCACTCCCCTGGGAGGTCCTCCCAGGTCCTCCCCTTCCCAGACAGGAACTTGAGCTGATGGAGCTAGGCTGTCCCCTAGTTCACAAAGAAGGCCCACAGAAGTAAACACAGGCTCACAGCTATGCTTGCCTGGAGGGGTGACATGTGTCTTAGAGCTTTGACTTAAAAACGATGAGTGTGCATGTACATGCATGTGCATGCGTGTTTGCATGTGCATGTGTGTGAAATCTGGTGAAATCGATTTCAGATCAGAGTCTGGCCAAGGCGGGTGGAGGGCAGGGCAGGGGCCCTGTGGCTGGTAAGACCAGCACCTTTGGGCGCCAGATCTAATTTTAGCTGGTGTGGTTGGAATTGTAATGACTCCAGGTAGACCCAGCAGGCAGGGACTGGCAGGGTTCCCACCCTGAGTGAGTGTTTGGATGCGGATTAGCTCCACACACGCTTACGTGCAGGGCTTCTCTTGCCTTTTGGGGAAGGGAAAAAAAACACAAACGCACACAGAAACTTCAACCTGAAGTATGCAGTGGCCCGGAGGCAGTGCGGGTGCAGACAGAACAGACAGCACAGGCCCCCACCCTGGCTCCGCCAGGTGACACAGGGTAGGTTTCTCATCTGTCATTTGGGGACAACAACAGTACCTCCCTCAGGGGAGGATCGGGGGTTCAGGAGATGATCATGCACGAGCCATGCTTGGCATAGGGCCTGGCATAGTTGAGACATGGGTGCTGTCATTAATTGTATTATTCTTGGAAGATCATGCAGAGGCAGCATGGCAGAGCGAGTGTGAGCTTTGGCATCCACCGGATTTAGGATGGAGCTTCCACCCACCACTTACTTCTTCCTGTGTGATCTTGGGAAAGGCACTTAACCTCTCTGAACCTCAGTACCCTGACCTGGAAAATGGAGCCAACACTTTCTTACCAGGCCGTTGTGAGAATTCTCATGAGACAGCCCTTTATATTGCTCAGGCAGCCTCCACTTGGGAGTTGAAACACTAACTGCTAACTATTGATATTAGCCCAACACTCTCATATGAAGGCCCCAGGAGAGTTATACTTTGCCCGAGGTTCCCAGCATTGGCATAGTAGCTCCCTGCACCCACCCCTACTCCTAGCAGAGCCTCTGTAGCTCACCCGGGGGTGTTCACCCAGATGATGTCCAAGTGGCAGAAGTAGACGCACTCCTTGTCGAGCCAGGAGCTGCAGGAACAACGCCGAGACCGCAGGTGGGAGCCTCTGGCGCCGGGTGAGGGCACTGGCTGCTCCGGAGTGGCAGCGGCCTGGCCTTTGCCTGCATGCACAGGAGGGAGAGAGGAGTGGAGAGGTGGGTCAGGGCACCTGGCACAGCTGGGATAGGGGGACCCACTGGGCAACTCCTCTTGCATAATCGAGGAAATTGCTACTCTCAGCTGCTCAGGAACTCTGGGCCAGCCCGGGAAAGCCCCAGCAGTCCTGGTGGAAAGGGCCAGCCGCTGCCCTGTGCAGCGGCACCTCTGTGCTTGCAGAGCCCTACGGCAGCTGCCGCTGCTGCGGGGCTCCGGCTCCTGGCCCCTGTATGCCCCCAGATAGCTTGGGGGCCATCTCAGCCCCGAAAGGCGGGGAGACACCGCTGAACAGATCCGGGACGTGGTGTAGGGGGTCGCTACTGAAGCAGGCGAGGCCAGAGCGCTCACCTTCGTGCAAGGCCACGAGCAGGGCCAGAGCGACGGAGCACCAGGCGGTGGGCACAGCGATCATATCTGCGGAGGAGCGCGCGGCTGGGTCGGAGCAGGGAGTGCGCCTGTTGCCAGCGTACTTCTGCCAAGCCGAGCGGACAGCTCACTGCCTCGGTGCCCTGGCTGCCTCTTATAACCACTAGGCACCGCCCCGCCCCTGCCATCCAGCCCTGCCCCACTGCAACAGCGGGCCTGGAGCCAGGGACACCGCCTCCTCCCGGGATGCCTGGCCCGCCCCAGCCTCCGCGGTAGGGGGAGGGGGTATGGGGGGGCGGAGGAGGGTAGAGGGGGGAAGGAGAGCCTCGCTTCTTCCTCTGTGCTTGTAGCACCTCCCAAAGTCTGGAGGCTCCCTGCAACCCCCACCCGACCAGGGACCTCTCCCAGTCCCTCAGGATTTCTTCAAGTCATCCCCCAAAGTGTCAGAGCCCCTCCCCCACTTTCTCTGTGGCTGCTCCCTAGATCTTGCCCAGAGCTAAGAGTTTGAAAGGGGAGCATGAGAAAAACCCTTCTTCTCCTTGACCAAGACCCTGAAGTCCTGCCTGCTTACTGCCATCCAGGCTGAGGATACCCCTTCTATTGTGTAGGAAGTGAAAGGCCAGCCACAAAGCTGTGTGGCTTTGGGTAAGTCAGAGCCCTCTCTGGGCCCACTTCCCGCGGTGAAAAACACAGCCTACCCCGGACCTCTGACAAGCCTGGAGCTGCCTCATCTCTACCTCACCCAGGAAGTGCCCCTCTCCCTGATTACCCCACCAGGGCCTGGGGACAGGAATTCCGGTCCCTTCCAGAACCTATCCAACTTTGCAGCCATGGCCAAGGGTATCTCTCCTGGGTCTCAGTTTCCTTATTTGCAAAACAAAGATAGAATTGAGGGGAGGGTTGGTCCTTAACAGGATGGCTCACAGGCTCCGTTGGGATTAAGAAGGGGGCTTCAGATTCCTTCAGAAAGATGCCCGTGGGCACACACATGAAGCGCCACTTCAAAGGTCTCCTGTCTTGGACATGACAGGATGTCTTGGCTCACCTCAGCGGCTACTTTCTGCAAAAAAGGCCAGGTGGGGGAAGGTGCTTCTTGGAGCTAGCATTCTGCTCCTGCCACAGGCTGCCCAATTTTTAGTCTCTGTGTTCGTCAACTCTTTGGTCATTAGACATTTATGAAGGGAGAATTAGATGACCATGAAGCGACAGGCAATTTCACTTTTTCCTAGAGTGTATCCAGAGTGTGCGTGTGTGTGTGTGTGCGTGTGTGTGTGTGAGAGATAGAGACAGAGACAGACAGAGACAGAGAGAGACAGATTGAGAGAGAGAGAGACAGAGACAGAGAGAGACAGATTGAGAGATAGAGACAGAGACAGACAGAGACAGAGAGAGACAGATTGAGAGAGAGAGAGACAGAGACAGAGAGAGACAGATTGAGAGATAGAGACAGAGACAGACAGAGACAGAGAGAGACAGATTGAGAGAGAGAGAGACAGAGACAGAGAGAGACAGAGAGAGAGATTGAGAGACAGAGAGAGACAGAGAGACAGAGAGAGAGAGATTGAGAGAGAGAGAGATCCTGGTAGAACAGGGCGGAACTGAAGGAGGGAGAGACCTGTCAGTGCTACCTTCCTTCCCTCAGGCTGGGTCAGGCTGCAGTGGAGGCAGAACAAACATCTCCGGGCAACTACTGTGTGCTCAGAACACTTTCATTTCCTCTCCATCACGACCCCAGGAGGCCGCTCTACTACTGCCCAGGAGGAAATGGAGCCTGGCCAAGGTCACACAGCTGGTAGGTGCGAAGCTGGCTCTGGAACTCGGATCTCGGAACTCGGATCTCGGATCTCAGATCGTCTCTCCAGCAAAACAGTGACTCCCCCTGGAGTGCTCACGGCCCTCCCCCGCATGGCGCCTCTCTAAGAATTTAGAAGAGTATTTCTGGAATGAGGTGAGCAATACTCCTAGTCATTTCTATTAGCCTCCGAGAGAATATAAATACGGAATTAAGCAGGGTTAGGATGGGGGAAGGGGGTGGATAGAGAGTTGGAACCACTGAACTGTGAAGAGAAGAAAGAGGCAAAAGCAGGTCAGCGGGGAGAAGGAGGGGGTCAGGGTGGGGAGGAAAACAAGCAGGGAGGCAGATAAAGACAGGTAGGGAGAGAGAGGGAGGACAAGGAAGCCGAGGGCAGCCAGAAAGAAAGAACTCGGATTTGAGAAAGGAAAAGAGAAAGACCATCGGGAGTGAGAGCGAAGGTTCTAACGTGTCTAATCTTTACACAAATGCCAAGTGCCTGCTCAGGACAATAGGGAACCAGAGGCTCCCAGTCGGGGAAACATAATAGAAGAATTAAATGGACCAGGAGACAGGATCCCTCTCTGGTGTGAAAGGAGGGTGACGACAGGACAGGAGCCGCCGCCCGGCCTGGCAGGGTCTGTGCAGGGAACTGTGCCCCACTCCAGTTTCTCTCCTTCTCTGCCCTCAGCTTGAGCTGGGCAAACAGGGCTTCTGTGAAATGGAGAGGCCTGGCCCGGGAACCTGAGTGAGCCCAGATTGTAGGGGGTGAAAGCATTCCGGGAACGTTACCCCACTGGTAAGAGTTGGTTTACAGGTAGAGAAAATTAAGCTGAGTTAAAAATAGCCAGCCCGAGCCCCCTAGGGCGCTTAGCCTGGGCCCTGACAATCACCTCTGCCCCTTCTGGCTGGCCTGGTTGCATGCCCGCCCCCACCTCAATTATACTGCCCCAACCAGCTAGCTGCCCCGCCGTACTCCCCAACCCGACCTGGCCCTGCTACCTGTCTGGGCTAGTAAAGGCTGCAGGTCTAGGGACAGGGGTTCCCTGAAGGTTACCCCGTCAGGATTTAGAAGGGATTGTTTCGCACACAAAATAATTTGCTCCACTTCTGCTTGGTGCCAGCTCCATCCAAGAGGGAGAGAGCTATGAGGTGGGTGGGCTGGCAGAAGAGGGCAGTTGAGGTGTATTTCTTGGTGAGATGGTGCTTGAAACTGGTCTCTGGAAATCCTCTCCTGTCCTCACTCCCATTTCCTGGATGAGATGACGGAGGTCCAAGAGGAGGGGCAACTTCTTCAAGACGGAGATGGGGCCAGACATGTTCTCTTGGCTTCTAATCTAGCCTCATCCTTTTCTGCACAACAGTGAAGCTCTCCCAGGGGTACAAGTTGAGCCTGAGACTCTGGGTCCATTGGGAAGGGCTGCCAGGATGGGCCAGGGCACTGGGATGGGGCTAGGGCTTCTTCCCACGCACCCCAAAGCTTTTTCTATCACTCCTGCACTAAGAGTAAGTATGGGTCCATCGAGCATCTGTCCAAGCTGTGGACATTGCGTAAGATGGAGGATGCACGGGAGTGAGGATTAAATGTCCTGGTGATGTTGTCCCAAAGGACAGGCATGGGCTGAAGCAGGTGCCTGGTATAGCAGGAGCAATGAGCTTTTGTCCCCGCTCTGCTGCTCATGCTGTGTGGCCTTGGGCAAGTTGCATCCCTTCCCTGGAAAACTTTAGAGTGACCCAAATGTAAGCCCTGCAGACTGACTGCATCGCTCTCGTTCCCAGGTTAGGACCCTTTGCTCTCTCGCATCTGGAAACCCAGTCATTTCCCCCTTGCCACTGGGCTCCTCCAGGTTTCAGAAAGTTCTGTTTGCAGCCCTGAAGGGACACAGTGTCTTGGTCGCAGGCACACACTGTGCCCGCGGCTTAGTAGAGCGAGCAGCTGGGAAGATGGGGCTGGCCAGGGGGAGATGTCTGGAGCCCCAGGGAATGGGGAGCTGAGGAGGGTTTGGCCCTGGAGTCAGCCTGGGTTGGGGATTCAGGGACTGATGGGGTTCGGACAGCCTCATCAGCACTCGTCCCCAAGACTGTAGGTCAGAGCTGCCCCCACTCGGGCCTCGGGTCACTCAGCCCCAGGGCCTCTTTCTGGTGGGTGGTCTGGGCCTCCTGCCATCAGCCACAGCTCGCCCTGAGCCAGCAGGGCCTGCCACCGCCCACACCATTGTCCCCACGCTGGGTCTCCGCAAGGGCAGCCTCAGCCCTGCGGGACCAGCTCCACTGGTCTCTGAGGCTTCCCTCAGAGGACACCCCCTTACTCCTCCTCCCTCTGCCTCAGCCCATTCGGAAAGATTTATATCTTTCACATAAACTGTACTTTTGAAGGAATAATTCATGTGCCCCGTTTGTTATTAATCTAAGGGTAATCAGGCCAGGGTCAGCGAGGCCCACAGAAGTGCTGGAATTTCAGCTGAAAGCAGAAACTGTTCAGTCAAATCACCCTGTCAAGAGGCCACGTGAGTTCTGCTGGACTTTTCGAAATAAGACGTCTGACTCAAGGACTCAGCATCCGGGATAGAAGTCTCTGGACTTGAAGGTTTCGAGTTACCTCCAAAGGGCTAAGGGCCCAATTCCCCACTTAGCCTTTTAAGGATATGGGGTAAACATGCATTTCTTGAGTATTTAATATATTCCCAGCACTGTGCTAAGTGATTTACATACTTTATCTCCATTAACTGTCACAACATACTGAAGAAGTGGGTATCTTAATTAGTCCTTATTTTATAAATGAAGAAACTGAAGCTTATGACTTGCCCAATGTCAGACGGCTAGAAAGTGGCAAAGCCAAGGTAGAAGGCAGATCTGTGTATAACTCCAAAGTCCTAGCCCTGAACCCTGAGTGCTCCCAATGTGCTTCCCAACTCGCCAGACCACGGGGAGCCTTCCTGCAGCAACTCTTCTCCAGGACACCCCTCTCTTCTCTTACCAGGCTGGGAAAGTGGGGAGCCCAGGAGCAGAGGGAGCCTCCCACCTGCATCTGCTGGGAAAGTCTCACTCCCACAGCCAAAGCACAGCTGGTAGCCCTGCCTACGAGGCCTGTGGCTGAGGCCTGGTTCCAGCCGTTAGGTAGGTATGGACAGTTCATTTTTATTTCACTGGATATCCACAACATACCTAAAGAGGCACACTGGGCTCATGATTCTCACTTTACGGACGAAGTCTTTCCAGATTCTCACTTTACAAATGAGGAAATGACGTCCTCAGGGTCACACTATAAACAAGAGGCAGAGCTAAAACCTTTTTCCTTATACTCATCTGCTATGGGACCAACAGCTTATAT